TGAAGTGCCCCCTGGCCCGGCCAGACCTCTCAGGGAGCTCAGCTCCAGTGCTGTGGGCCACGCAAGGAAAGGTCCTTCCACCCAAGTTCAGGGACAGCTGTGGAAAGGGACCCTCATGTCAGAGCAGCAGGGCCCCAGGACACCAACCGGACTTGGACCCCCTTGACAGCCTCTCCCTGGCCTTCTGTGTGACACATTTCACAAGGCTGTGGAATATATCCATTTTCCTTTGTGTAGGACCATCACATCCCTCTCCTGGGGGAGGAAAAGGAAGGCTTTTCCAGTAATTAAAAACTATTATGAGACCAAGTAAGGAAAACGATAAATCCCGATAATTAAAACTAAATTCATAAAGCCTGAATTAGGCTGTCAAAAAAAAATCACCATAGCTCAGCCTGCAGCCGAGGGTAGGAGCAGGACAAACGCACCACACCCCCTGACCATAACTAAGACGTGTCTGGTCAGCCAGGCTGTGGTTAGACATGGCTGCTCAGGCCGGCACCTCAGAGAGGCCCCGGGGTGTGGGAGGAGGAAGGCAAAGGGCCAGCAAAAGCCTCCAGAGGTCTCCAGCCTCCACGATCCCGGAAGTCGGGCACCCTTTTCTCATGTAGGAGGCTTCCTCGTTAGGATGGTGGCAGGAAAGCAGATCACACAGGATGAAGCAATTCAACAGAGGAAAAGCCCACACCCCGCAAAGGCAAGTCTGAAATGTGCAAAGTGGGAAACACAGTAAGAGGGCAGCTGCTTCTGTTAGGGAAGAATGCTGTTTTCCCAGATCCTGCTGCCTTAAGAATTGCCTTAAGTTCTCCTTGTGCGTGTCTTCCCCCAAGGTGGAGATGAGCAAGACCTCTAAGCGTCACCCCTTCCCCTTCCATAGTGGCCCAAGAGGAAGGGAGGGTCTGTCTGGTGTGACTCTTTAAAAGTGTGTCCACTTGTCTGCTCAGTCAAGCCGCCAGCCAGTGTGGAGGAGCTTGGTGAGGCCTCTCTCCCACAGGAGTCAGGACCACCTTAGAATCAGGGCCAGGGAAGCCCCATCACCTGTGTCAGCAGGACCCCTGTCAAGTGCACAGAGGATGTGTCGGTGTCTCGGGTTTCAATCTTTACAAAAAGATCAGGGATGTAGTGGATATTGTCATTCTGAGCTGTCCAGCTTCATCCTTCCTCTGTAAAGCACCCCCTCTACAGACCCACCTTGCATGCACTCGTTGTGGGAGATGCCGCTGCCTCCCTGTGGAAGCCCAAAGGGCCAGAGCCACCCTCACCCCCACGCAGGTGGGGGTAGAAAGAGGCAGCCACGTGACTGAGAGCAAGACTCGTAACGGGTAGCCGGTGACACGGTGGCTGTGGGGCAGACAGCGCCATTCCTCTCAGCCCTGATGCAGACCACTGCCTGGGGTCCGCAGCCTTCCCCCGCTCCAGGGCTCCCTCGGGCGCTAGCTGTGTTCCAACCTGGTCCTCCAGCCTCAGGGGCAGTCCCCCTTCGGATCCATGCCCTTTTTGCTTGTTTCCACAGTCAGGAATCCTGTCTGATGAGCTGGGCTAATGCAGACTGGGCAGTGTAGAGGGGAAGTATCCATATTATTCATGGAACCCCAAACTTCACCCACTACCTCAGAGATTCTTCAAATGAATCATTCAAATTTAACTTTGAAATTTACTTTAAACTACTTTTTAAAATTAAACTATTATAAAAACAGTGATTAAAACATTTACAACAGTAGGTTACCTTTGGGGGCATATCTCTGGGGGACTTGGAGGAGGCATGAGGGAACCTTCTTGGGGCTGAGAACATTCCATATCTTAATCTGAGTAGTTGTCTGAGAATACAGGCATATGATTACACAACAATGTGGGTGTACTTAATGCCACTGAACTGTCCACTAAAAAAATGATTAGGATGGTAAATTTTATGTTATATATATTTTACCACAATTTAAAAAAATAGATTAAAACAGAATTCAAAACACTCCTTTAAAACTATTTCAATAAATAAGAGATAAACTAAAAAACAAGTATAGGCTTAAATTTTTAAAATCCATCAAGATTTGTACTCTTTACTATCTGTAAGTTTTATTCTAATTAAAACAACAAAGCAAACAAAAAACACTATTATATACCAAACATAAGATGTTGATAACCCCCAAGTTTTCCCAGTTTCTCAAGGTACCAGATTATCTCATTTTCTAAAAAACTCAGGGCACAGCCCTTCCTGCTAGAGTTGGATCCTGAGATTTGAAGGCAGCTGTTCAAAATCTCTTAGCATTGGCAACCACATATTTATGTGATTCAGATTATTTTTCCATTCTGTGGAATCAAAATACAAAAATAAATTGGATGCTGGAATGACAAAATTACAATGATGGATTACAGATAAGTAGTAACCAAGGTTAGGGAAAGGGAGGGAAGGAGAGGGTGATTCTATAAGGCCAGCCCGAGGGAGCTGCTTGGAGGGGATGGACCAGTTTTGTTCCTGATTGTTAAGGTGGATGGACAAATTCACACATGTGATAAAATGTCATGGAACAATAGGTAAAAACATAACCAAAAATAAGTGCATGCAAAACCAGTGAAACCTGAGTAAGATCTGTAGTTTAGTTGACTGCATGGTGCCAATCAATTTCCTGGTTTCGGAAATCCACTATAGTTACATAAGATGTTACCATAGAAGCTGGATGATTGGTATGAGACTTCTCTGTACTATTTTGACAACTTTAAGAAATTCTATAATTATTTCAAAATATAAAGGTAAAAAAATACAGAAATAAATTGGATGAGACTGCTATAAGATTGCCATAAGCCCAGTTTTTAAATTATTTTTATCAAGTTACCCATTATTCTTACTGACTTGATAATATGTACAAGTAAATTATGACACATTAAGACAAATGTGTACTAACAAAACACCATGTAGGTTTTGTGATTGTTTTCCCCAAAAAACCGTAAGTTGAAGCCATAACCCGTAGTGTGAATGTATTTGGAGATGGGGACTTTGAAGAGGTAATTAAGATTAAATGAGGTCATAAGAGAGGGGTTCTGATCCAATATAAGTGGTATCCTTATAAAAAGAGGAGATTAGGACACAGGCATACATAGAAGGAAGACCATGTGAGGACACAGGGAGAAGACGGCCATCTACAAGCCAAGGCGAAAGGCTTCAGGAGAAATCAACCCTGCTGACACTTTAATTTTGAACAAGCCCTCAGAACTGTGAGACAATAAATTTCTGTTGTTTAAGCCTCCCAGTCTGTGGTATTTGTTATAGCCACACTAGCAGACGAATACAAGTAGTGTGGTGATGTGGTTTAGAGGAGGGAAGGATCCTTGAGAGAGCTAGCTGTCTGCACAGATATGAAAGTTACATATTCAAAAGAAAATTAAAGCTGGCTCTAAATCACATGAAAGAAAACCAGGTCATTAGATGCACACTACTCAAAAATACTGCAGTTCCTTCATCTGCATTCATTCGTTTATTCCTTCATTGGATCAACAGTGGTGACTCAGCCTCTCCAGCCCTGTGCCAGGCGCTGAAGGATATGACACATGGGTTAAAGCTGGACTCTGCTCTGTGTAGCACAGTCTTCCAAGGAAGATGTGCAGACAAGGGCAGTACGACGGATTCATGTCTCCGCAGGGGCAAGCATAGGGAGAGGAGGGGCAGGGAGCAGAAGCCCCTCCTGGGTGAAGTGTGGAGGCGTCAGAGCTGAGCTGTGAACACTGGGAAGAAGTAGCCAGTCCTCTGGATAGCACCGGCCTTGGCAGCCATGGCAGTGGACAGATATGGACATATACCAGTCCTCTAGAGCCCCAACTAGACTCAGGCATCAGCTAACCCTCTATCAAAGCTTACTTCACATTGCATTTGCCTAGTAATTCTGTTATGGAGACAGCCCCCAAATAACGAAGCACAGATTGGTTACTTGGTTTTTAACACCTAGTTCTCAGATTTGTCTAGAGGATTGCCAAAGTATAGTATAAAAAATCATTTTGAAACTCTAAAATGGGACATAAATGCTAGCCATCATTCTACTAGATTTGGAAAGACCTTGTAAGTCACCTAGTCCACAGTGACCATTTTATGGATTATGGAGATTTACTGAACGTCACCCAGCTTGTACCTGGCAGAGCCAGAGAGAAGGCCTGGGATTACCCGCTGCCAGTACTCCACGGGAAGCACAGGTTTTTAACGTTTGAATTCCACAATAATATATATTCAATCCTATACTGTTTTCCTTCAATTTTCCTACAATTCTAAGCACATTCAATTCCAAACCTTGCTTTTGGTGGTGCAATATATCAACCTCTTAGTGAATAGAGGTTTGTGCTATAGCAGACAAAATTGGTTTCTGTTAACCAAGTGCTCTATTCCTACACTCAAAGACTGGTTCCAATTTGAAACCTATTAGAGCTCAAGAGCAAGCCAGATATAACTGAAGATAGGAGAGAAAGGAAATGGCAAGTGAAGGGGAAGGTGGGGGAGGAGGTGTAGGTAGAAGGGCAGGGGGAGTGCTGGTGTGTTTGCCAGCACTACGTGTCAGCACCACTTCCGTTTGACCAGAAAGCAATGAGCCTGATGCCAAGGCTGTGGAAGGACACTAGTCCCACCACCCTGCAGTCACACTTCACCTCTTATGACACTTGGTGAAGCTTATGTCTCATGACAATCGTGTAATTCAGCGAGGTCCCCCTCCTGCACTGGTGATCAAGAGGCTCAGAGACAAATGCAACCCAACTACAGTCACTTCGGGACAGCCTGAGGGTTCCTTCCTTTGGTTGAACTTTTCATATCTTCCTTACTAACCCTTTGTCTAGATGCCTTCTGCCATAAGCAACTACAAAACTTTTTAGGAAAGAAGAAAAGTAAAATAAAATCAGAAACCAAATTTACCAAAAAGAGGTAACAGAAAAGGCAGAGTTTGTTTGAGGATGGCTCCTTCAGACTGTGTTATCAAGTGTCCACATTATCACAGGGTATAGAGTTACTATTTTAACTCTAAACTTACCAACGGTGTCACAAGGTTCATCTTTGTGTACGCAGAAATCTGTCCTAAAAAATTTTAAAAAAAGAAAGTCAGATGTGTAGTACCTCCAAGAATGGGAGAAGAAAACATTGTCAATTAGTCTAATTAATCTTGATTACTCATCTTGCCCATAACAAGTTATCACTTTAGTTGCCACCTGTTATAATGAAAAATAACTAGCAGCGTTTGCCAAGATTAACCACATTTCCAACTGGTAGGCCCAGTTACCCCATGTAAGATCCTCCTTTCACAGCTGAAATATTCCATAAATAACACTCAGTTGCTGGAAGGACTCCTTCCAACGCTGAAAGTTTCAGAAGATGTTTACCAAGTCATGTATCAGAGATCATTATTAGTCAATATCATCAAACTATAGTGACTTCCTAAGTTACTCTACTTGGGCAGCAACTGGTTTTAGATGCTGGAATGACCACGTATCACTTACATGAGAACACAACAAAAAAGTCTTTTCTAAAACTTATATTCTTTAAAGCTCCCTAGGATCTCCCAGGTGTGTGGCTGTGGACAAATGAAACAGCAAAGATGCTCGAAATCTGATCCAGCCTCGGTTCTGCAAGTACAATGGCCTTCCTCTGGCCTGTGAGGTATGAAATGAGGAATCTGGGCCATTCTTTTCCAAAACCAGAGCATTCCCACTATTCTGCCCATAAGTTCCCTAGTTGGGAGCTGACCAGAGCGCTGGCTGGGGAGGTATCTTGCCCAGGACTGGGTGAGAACAGCAGTTCATCTTCTCATGGCATACCGTGGGGACTGGTAAAAGCACCCACTCATCTGCATCTCTCTAAACACACTCCAGTGCAGCTTCAGGTTGAAAAGGTGTGTTCTGAAGGCACCTCTTCTCATTTCACTTTTAAAAAATTCTCTGGGAAGAAAAATGGGTCAGGCTGGCACTAAGCAAAGTTGTCAGTGAAAGTGGCAGGTCCTGGATGGGTCACACATCGCCTTCCCTCATGAGATAATACCTTCCCCTTTCTGACACTCCATCCCCACCTCGGCATTCAGTGTCCTCAATTCCTCTCCTACTCTCTGTCAAAAATCTATTCTCACGGAAGGATCTGATCTGCCATTCACACTGGGGACAATGACAAGAAGGTAATGTAATATCATCAGCTTTCCTTTTACCTCCACTCCAAACCACAGCACATTCTATCCTATTTGCCTCCATAATGTAACCCATGTCTAACGCCTCTCAGCACTATGTGAATGTCCATGTGAGTGGAGCAAAACCTGCTTGTTCCCAGCCCTGGCTCTGCTTCAGGCTGGCCTGAAAGTTGTCAAAGACTCTACCCACCCACTAGACCCGCAGAGGCCAGATCTGTAGGTTTAAAAGATTCCACTTGGGGTTCTGATGTACAGAATTTCCTGGTCCAGGCCACTGCCTCAGGCCAAGAAGTCTTGCCAGGCACCCTGGACATCCTGTGAGCCCAGAGGAAAGGGCAGCTGGCATGGGTGTGACAGCTTTGAAGAGGTGGCCCTGAAGCTGGCCAGAGAGACAGCTAGAAGGAGCTGGGCCAATCAACTAAGCAGCCCACATGGGTTTTGCTGACTGCGTCTCTAATTTTTTCATAATGAACATATATATTTTGGTAATCGATTTTAAAATAATTTTAACAAAGGAAAAAGGAAGGCTTCAAGACCCTCAGGCTTTTCATAACCCCCTCCAAGATCAAGGGAGCCTCCATAGAAATGGAGATGGAATAGCCATAGGAAAATGGAAGATTCGTGCCTTGATTTTTCTGTCAAGGACGACCTTTCAGAAGACTAATTAACAGGCAGTAGAGGGTGGCAAGGAAGACACACAGGCAGAGAAGAAAACAAACAAATAAAATTAGGGACATAAATATGTTCACTGGTCTGGTATCTAACTAACCCCAACTCAACATTCTTGATCTGACACCCTTCCCATTGGAATGTTTTGGGCGTGTCACACACACACACACACACACACACACACACACACACACACACACACAGAGACCAGACTGGCCTGAGATCTTGCTCCAGGGTTTCCCAGATTGAGCAACTAAAAGTGTTGAAAGCATCATCGCATTGCCTCACCTGGGCAAAGGGAGAAAGGGTGTGTGGCCATCAGTCCCACAGAAGAGAACTAAACAGACTGAACAGGGCTGCTGAGGGGACTGGCCCCAGCTCCTTCTAGCTGTCTCTCTGGCCAGCTTGGAGGAAGATGGCTAACAGGGCATTGTGTGTTCTCTCATCCCCCGGCTTCCCTGGAAGGAAATGTGTGGTCTCAAGTGATGGACGCTGCAGCGTCACCCACTGTTTCTCCTAAGGAAGTGGGAGGACATATGGTGGGCTCACCATATGTGAGTCAAGCTCAATTAGAGGCCTGGCTTGAAAGGGTCGCCAAAATTTGAATCCTCTCTCCCCTGCCTGTTCAAGGTCCTTTCTCAGAAAAAGAAAAGCAAGCCTTCTGCCTGCAGGGTCACCTTCATCTCCAGGTACCCTGGCTCCCACTGCAAACTCATGCCAAACCCACATGTTGGGGCTGCAGGGGTCAACTGGGGAATCAAAAAAAAAGGTACCAATGCAGCTCTCCAGCCTCTCAGTCTGTTCACATTCACATTCTGCTGTTTGTTCCTCAACAGAAGGAAGGCTGTGCAGATCTACAGGCCAGAGTGGGCTCCGTGGATGTGTGAGCTGTGCCATCACGCAGGCCCCTCACTCAGAAGCCTCCCATCCCCCAACCTGCTTTACCGCTCTGCTCTCAACATCTTGAAATTGTTAAGAATTTTTTAACATGGGGTCCCGAGTTTTCATTCTGCACTGGGAACCACAAGTTACATAGCTAGTCCTGTGGATAACCTATTGCCTGGCATACAGTTGGGGTTTAATGAATACTGGCTCCTTTACTAAACGACCGGCATACATTTCCAGATCACTTTCAATGTGCCCTGTCAGCTCATCAGTGGCCTTGTCTCTCCCCTGTGTTTGGAAACCCAGAAAAACGTAACACCACAGGTACCCACCAAGCTGTCACATGAGCAAGGCCAAAGGTTGAGGGAGGACCGTCCCTGGGACTGGGTGGAATTACATGGGAAGGGAAGGTGGAGGGACAGCTGGACATCCTGGTGGTCGCACTCTGGGCTGGCCATGCATGTTGCTCCAGGTGTCTCCCAGGAGAGTAGACCTGGGTTTGCGGGGTAAAATTCCTGGCTTTCTGGAGGACATGTGGAGCCAAAGGCAAGGCTGTGCCAGGTGTTGAAGTCCCCTGAAGTCCAGTCTGTGCGGGTCCCATATGGCCCCCAAACTCAGTCTACTAAGAGGTCTTTGCTGGCCCTACACACGGCTGCAGCTGCTGGATATGCAGCTCCCGCCGCTCCCTGCTCAGCAGCTTCTGTTGGACGCGATGTCATGCTCACATCTTGGCAACTGGCCATCTGTATGGTTGGTGGGCGTCCAGGAGGATACACTCTCGGGCTCAGCCACAGCCCGGAAGGAAAACAAAAAGAGAAGAAACCCTCACATCAGCCAGTCCCAAGACCTGAGGACGCCGGCCCCTAAACACCGTTGGCCTGTGCGGCCTCCAATTAGACCCTCAGCTTGGATTACTCTGGGAGGAAAGGACTGCTTCTCCAGAGCAGCAACTGCCTCACACCCAATTTCCCTGTGAAAACATCAGTCCATTATTATCCCAACCTAAGGAACTGCAGCTCTCAGCCTCTAATTATTAAACGATGCTTCTCAGCCAAATTGGCTTCCAGCCCCGACTCCATCACTGCCACCCCATCCTCATGGGAGGTCTTGAGTTTAACGTCTGTGAGGACCCAGAGGACAGACGGCACCAATCAGTTCAGTCCAGCAGCTCCCCACAGAAGTGAGAGGGATCAAGATGGCTAGAAATGGAGAGAGACAACACAGGGTCCTGGGCTGGCCGCAGGTGACAGAGCGGGATGGAGGCCTTCGCATTGGCTCTGCCTGCATCTGAAGAAACCTGGCTTTCCCGGGCCACAAGGCATCTGCCTCCCCAGCCTCCCCACTCAGAAACACCCGCTTGCAATCAGGACCACCCCCTTCAATGTGCTTAGTTAGAAAAGAACATTTTAAAAGTTTTTTATTGTGGTAAAATACACGTAAAATTTACCATCTTAACCATTATTAAGTTCACAGTTCTGTAGTGTTGAGTATATTCACATTGCTGTGCAACTAATCTCCAGAACTCTTTTCATCTTGCAAAAGTGAAATTCTATATCCATTAAACAGCTCCCTATTCCCTCCTCCCCACAGCTCCTGGCCACTACCATTTCTGTCTCAATGAATTTAACTTTCTAGGTATGTCATATAAGTGGGATCACAAAGGATTTGTCCTTTTATGACTGGTTTATTTCACTCAGCAAAATGTCCTCCAGGTTCATCCACGTTGTAACTAGTGTTAGAATTTCCTTCCTTCTTAAGGCTGAATAATATTCCATTTGTATGGAAACACCACATTTCGTTTACTCATTTATCCACTGATGGACACTTGGGTTGCTTCCACATTTTATCTATTATTACTAATGCTACTATGAATATAGGTGTATGAATTTCTTCAAAATCCTTTTGGATATATACCCAGAAGTGGAGTTGCTGGATCATATGGTAGTTCTATTTTTAATTTTTGGAGGAATTGCATACTGTTTTCCACAGTGGCTGTACCATTTTACATTCCTACCAACAGGGTACAAGGGTTCCAATGTTTTCACATCCTCACCAACACTTGTTATTTTCTGTTGTTTGAGTTTTTTTAAAAACTCAGGCATCCTAATGGGTGTGAGATGTAAAGAACATTTTTATGCAAAAATATTTCCAGTATGGTAAATAAGCTGTTAGGAGACAGGAAAAAGAGAAAGGAAAATATAAAGCCTAATGGACAGCATTCTCAGGCTGAGGGTGCCTTCAGTCTCTCTGATGGCGTTTTGTAAAAAGGCTAACCCAGAAATTTTGTCTACACTAATTTTGGTAACATCTACTGCCTCTGGAAAAAAGTTAGTCGTTCCCAAACCAAGATCACTTGCAAGTGTTTTCTCTACCCAGACAAGAAAGGAAACAGCAGGAAAGCAAAGAAGCAATACAGGGAAAATTCCCATAGGTTATCATTTTTAACAAAACACCAGAATTTATACATTTGATATAGTATTTACACAAACCACTTTCAAAGTAATAACCTTGGACGTTTAGCTGCATATTCCAAAGAGGATGTTATTTAGAGCTCCTCTCTAGGAAAGGTCTTTAGTCCTCATTTAATTATCATTTGGAAAATCAATCACATTAATTTATAGTCACATATAGATATGGTTTCCAAGGACTTCTGCCTGCCCCACAAATCAAATCCACTCTCAAAGGGTGGTAGCCATAAGACCAATACTGTAATCCTCAGTGCTTTATGGAAAGCCCCATAGGCTCCAAAAGCTATTTCAAAGTGCCTTGAGCCATGGCAGCCTCTGGCCAGTGAGTGTGGGAGCCAGAGCTGCTGGGAGAGGTGGTACCTAGGGCTTCCCAGCACTCACCAGGGTGGGCAAACCCAGATCTAAGGCAAGTACAAGGTCATGCTCATGCCTTGTCCTTGGTTCCTGGTAGACCACCAGCCAATGTTGGCAATCAGAATTATTGAATAGACTTCTCAAATGTTCCATTATACATTTAATCACATCCTGTAGAAGCAGCAAGTGTTCTCATAATGGATCAGTGAGCTACAGATCACATTTTAACCCTTTAGGGTTGGCAATTGATGAATCATCTACAAGAGTGATGAGGCATCTAGTTGGTGTCTGATGGTGGCAATGTGCATGTTCTGGGTTTTTTTAAGAGGAGAACCCTAGGGTGCTACATTGCCTGGTACAGGGTGCCTGAAGCTGGCGTCACAGATCATCCCCAGCTACCTTCAGGATGTCATCAGGCCAGGGGCTTGTTGTTTATGGCCCAAGAGATGCAAAATAAGAGCCCTTCTGGACTCAAAACCAAAGTCTTAAACCAGATTTAACTCTTCTTAGAAGGGCAGGCTATCTTTAAGCTAAAGACATGGTAAACTGTTCCCTTTCTCTGAACTCGGAGAAAAAGAAAGCATGTAATTTTGGAAGTAGTTTCTATAAATTAAAAAAAAAAATCTTAAAATTCAAAGTTGATATATTCATTCAAAAAAATAAAATTTTGTATTTTAACCTAATGGATTAAATTATCACAAAACATTTCCACATTTTTCTAAAAGGGGATTTTGGTGTGAACACATAACACATTTTATTTACATCTTTGAAGTAAAACAACCAAGGAAAATCCATTTTTCTAACAGAGATTTGAGACATAGGGAAAAAATGAAATAGCCACATCTATACCTATCATGGGTTGAACTGTGTCCCCCAAAAGATACTTTCAAGTCCTAACCCCACACCCAGTCCCTGTGAATGTAATCTTATTTGGAAAGAGGGTCACTGCAGATGTAATCAAGTTAAGATGAGGTCACACTGGATTAAGCTGGGCCCCAATCCAACGACTGGTGTCCTTACACGAAGAAGGAAATGTGGGCACAGGGAGAACACCATGTGACGAAGGAGGAGACTGGAGTGATGCATCTACAAGACAAGGGATGCCCAGGATTGCAGCAACCACCGGAAGTTAGGAAGAAGGCGGAAGGATCCTCCCCTCCTGAGCCTTCAGAGAGACACGGTCCTGCCCGCACCTTGATTTCAGACTCCTGGCCTCCGAAACTGTGAGAAAATAAATTTCTGTTGTTTAAGCCACCCATTTTGTGGTAATTTGTTACTGCAGCCCTAGAAAACTAAAATAACATTGCTGCTATCTGCATAGAAAGCTGCCTTTGGTTTCTATTGTCCACTGCCGGGCTCCTTGGCTTCCCTCTCAGTCAGGAAGAGTAAGTCCAGCTCTGTAGCCTATAAAGAAACTCAGCTTCTTGCTTCAAATGGAGCCTCTACGTAAATTCCACAGGCATCTCTGCCCACTGCTGTTGTCCCAAGAGTGCCCATGGATGGGCTGTGCACAGCACCCACACGCTTGCATGGACTTCTCTCCACAGGAAAATCAGGGTATTCACTTCTCCCACTTTGGAAGCAGCCTCAAACACAGATGAGCTCTTTCCAGTAAGCATTATATTTGGTGCTGGGAAGAGATAGTAGATGAGTTTTCTTGGAAGTTTTAAGAGTCTTGGGTAACTAGGATTTCCGTAGTTTTATATTAATGATAAGAATAGCAATAATAATAGCTAACACTTGTGTCCTTACTTTGGGCCAGGCACTGTGAGAAGTGCTTCCTGTGCTCATTTAATCCTCACACCTTGGAGGTAGGACTATCATTTATCCCCATCTTACTGAAGAGGAATCCAAGGTTCGGACATGTGACCCAAAGGAAATTCATGATTTCCAAGCCTGAATTCCTAGCAAATTGCCATCTGTCCTCTCCAATGGAAAATGCCCTCCCTTTCTCCTTTGCAGCTCCGGGCAGAGTCTAGTTTTACCTGGTCACGAATACAGCAGCATCCACGGGGGGCGTATCGTCCTTGCCTCCTGGAACCTGATTGTTGCCGAGGTACCGTGCGCCTCCATACTCCTCATTCTGCCAGTGACAGAAGCTCTCCAGGGACCGCTCACCATGATGCCCAATGGACAATTTGGCCTAAAAGAAATCAGGGGGGCAGTTACAGAAGCAAATGTCCAGGGAAGCCAGAGTTCATGCTCAGACCACAGTGTGGATGTTACGGTGGAGACAGTTGCTCGCCGGGGCGTCATTCAATGTCACCTGCCCACAATGCTGGTAGGAAGATGCAGAGACCCAGAGAGAGGCCATCAGGGGCCTTATCTATAAGTTCGAATGAAGACTATGTCATTAAAGAAAAGCTTTCTTCTTTTTGGCAAACTGAACAGCACACCCAACGTTCTCACGTTCACTGCTTAACTCTGCAGGTAACACTTTCATAAGGAAACGCACTCAATCAAAAGACCAGAAAATGATGCTACAGGGCACCCAAATTTGGCCTGAAGCTCAGGTATAGCTCCAGAAGAACAGCCATGATTCCAAAGACCTCACCATCAACTTTGCACCCATGAAACATGCGAGAATGAAGGAGGGAGGCACACAGGCCCACTGTTCAGGGTTCCCCTGAGATTCTGAGCAGATTAACCGCACACCAAGCCTCCAGTAACAGCACCTGTCCTCCTCGCACCAGGCATCCCTGGTCCCTGGCCCAGGGCACAGTGTTGCCATCTGCAAAGCCAGGGAAGGAGGATAAAATACAACACTTAGACTCCTCCTCAGCGCTCAACAGCAACTAGGAAGCCTGGAGACCAGTTACATTTTCCATTACTGTGCCGATGGGGACTTACAGGACGCTGTCGTAGCAGGACAAGCTTGGTAACTTGAATGTTAACTTTAATTCCAAGGCTCTGGTGCTGAAACATATTGAATACCTGTCAAGAGAGAAAAAAAGAAATAGATAGATATATAAATACAAAAATAAAAACAACAACAACAGCGGTATCCTGGATGGGATCCTGGAACAAAGAAAAGATAGTAGGTGAAAACTAAGGACATCTGCACAAACTATGGACTTGAGTTAATAACAATGTAACAATATTGGTCCATTAGTTATAACAAACATACCACACTAATGTTAAATGTCAATAATAGGGGAAATTGTGTATGGGAACTCTCTGTACTACCTGTTCAATTTTCCTATAAATCTAAAACACAAAATATAAATGAATAAAATATAAATGTATTTATTTATAAAATGAAATATAAATTCTATTCATTAAAAACTATATTAATTAAAAAAAAATTTTTAAAGTGTGTTCTTGCAGTACAAAAAAAATCTAAAGAAGAGTAATTATATGAAATTCCAATTTCAATGTTCATAATAAAGTCTTATTGGAACAAAAAAATACATTTATGTGAGATATATAGCCCAGATTTTATTTAAAAGGCCTTCTGAGTCCAAAAAACTCCCATAAATATAAATTCCTCAAGAGAAACAAGTAAAACAGAAAACTCTGGAATCACACACACGTGTGCATACAAACATACACATGCAAAGATAAACTGGAAATCAGTTGGTTGAAAAAAATGTATAGGACAGGTGATTTTGAAAAACAGAAATGGATGTCTGCTGATTCTGGTGTTTCCTGCGGGAAGGTGAAGGGGATCTTTATGAAAGGATGGGGGAGGTCCATGCCTGTGGCCATCTGCCACGTGTCAACTTGTATCTTCTCTAACCCTCATCACAACCCATCAAGGTTGGTGTCTCCACCAACCTCGACTCAGTGACATAAAGCCACCAGCTCAAGACCCGCTGCCAGTCAACTATGACTACAATCCATATCCAGATTGTCCAGCCAAAAAGGCCATATTCCTTTTTTCCCTGAATTCCTCACTCTAACCAAAGTTTGTCAGTGAAATAAAGTTATAGTAACAGAAAAGGATATGCCCCTCTCAGTTTTGCACCTCTTGTTGGTAGAACTTAATTATAAGGATCTCAACATCAAGAAATCAAAGGATTCAAGGAGAAGAGAGATAGGAAAACTCAAGTAAGGCAAAGGAATGAAAGGTGACATAGACAGAAGAGAACCATAGGATTTGAGGACCCCCAGATCATTACGATCCTCCTGAGTTCCTTCTCAGGAGAGAGCAGGATTCAGGGAGGTACAATGGAGTAGGTGATGAGAGTAGTAGTGTAAGATATAGAGGGAAGAGATAAAAATCTTTTAAATATTCGCTTTTCTTTTCTTTTTTTTTTTTTTTTTTTTTTTTTTTTGCGGTACGTGGGCCTCTCACTGTTGTGGCCTCTCCCGTTGCGGAGCACAGGCTCCGGACGCACAGGCTCAGTGGCCATGGCTCACGGGCCCAGCCGCTCCCCGGCATGTGGGATCTTCCCAGACTGGGGCACGAACCCATGTCCCCTGCATCGGCAGGCAGACTCTCAACCACTGCGCCACCAGGGAAGCCCCCTTTTCTTTTTAAATTGGGAAAATATTTTGTTTCATTATGTCCCTTTCTTCAGTGTTATTGATATATAATTGATATACAACATTGTATTAGGCTCAGGTATAAAACATGATTATATATATTATACTATATATCATAGTATATATAATATATACATATCTCAAAATGATTACCACAATAAGTTGTTAACATCCATCACCTCACATAATTACAATTGTTTTTCTTGTGAAATAACTTTTAAGACCTACTCTCTTAGCAACTTTCAAATATACCATACAGTACTGTTAACTATAGTCACCATACTGTATTTTACATCTCCAGACCTTATTTATCTTACAAATAAAAGCTTGCACCTTTTGACCACCTCTACCCATACCCCTACCCCCCACCTCTGGGAACCACCAATATGTTTTCTGTATCTATGAGTTCAGGTTTTTTAGATTCCACATATAAGTGAAATCATACAGTGTTTGTTTTTCTCTGTCTAACTTATTTCACTTGGTTTTGAATATGCTTTTTTTTCCTGACAGACATAATCCAGAGGGAGAATTTTCTAGCAGGGGCATTAAAATTTTCTCTCCAGTACATCAGCAGCAACATAAAGCAATGACCACAGCCAACAGCGTGGCCACAGTTAATTCAGGCCATGTGAAGCTGGACACGGCGTCGGGCACACAAGCGGCAGAAGCCAGGCACGCACAGTGCTTGAGCATCTGTGTGACAAAGGAATTAGCTGTGTCAGTGCTTGGATTTTTCTCTTTGAAAACTATTATTAAAGCAAAACAGAATCTTTGTGTAATTTAATATTCTTTCCCACAAGGAAAAATACAACATATTCAGTTATTCTGTTCTCACTACCCCCTCCCAAAACTTTTTCTTTCCTCAAGGACAAAATTGCAGTCATTTTTTTTATACTAGACCATCTGTAGGCCAATTCTGAAGTCATACCTTAACTACCTATCCTTAAACCTGGGTGAAGAAGGGAAAAGCACATAACTTTTTCCTTTTTTCTGAGAACCACCCAACGGCTGTAAATCAAATTTTTCCAGAAATATTCAGCCTTAGGATTGGGCCCAAACTGGAAAACCTCAATTCAAAACATGAAAACTAGAAAGAATGAAAACTTGAAATTATGAGGGAGAAAATTCAAGTCACACAGGGTTTCAAGGTGCAATCTAAACAATGCCTGTAACAGCAATGGCAGCCAAAGACATTAAAGAATATTGTGGGTTTAAAGCAATAACACAGGAAAGCAATTCTCAGTGATGTTCTGCCACGCCCCCTGAAAGCAGCATAAAGAACAGAGCCTGAATGGAATGATGCAAGTTTCAGGAAGGACAAAGCTATAGAAACAAACTCCCTCATCAGAATCCCCCGCTCTCCGGCTGAGGACAGTTCTGCACATCCCATGTACCGTGACCCCAAAAGGCTCAGGTACTTTTCTTGGAGCAAATACACAAAAAATATGTGAGCTGGAGGGGGAGAAAAGCTTCATGCTCTAGAGGCTGGGACGGAGGGTGAGATGGGGAACTGTTGTTTAATGAGTGTAGAGTTTCCGTCTTGCCAGATGACAAAGTTCTAAGGTTTGACTGCACAACAATGTGAATATAATTAATGATACTGAACTGTATACTTAAAAATGACTATATGGTAAATCCTGTTATGTGTATTTTACCAAATTAAAACTTTTTCATTAATTAATTTAAGACAAGAAGTTTCATGCTCTGAACAACGTTCTCTAGTAAGCCTGCCGGAAGGTACCCCCCCTTGATGTGTAACTGGGATGCCCACGTTCAGAAGAGCAGGCAGAAGCGACCACAGCTAAAGCACCTTGTCACCTGAATAGACAATGCTCCCACAAAGCCCAGCAGAGCGCAGGGCCAGGCAGACACACAGGATCTCCCTCAAGGCCCAGTGCCGAGCCGGGCGAGCCAGACGAGAATCCGACGACAGCCACAGAACACAAAGCAGCAGGCCTCAAAGACATGTAAGGAAGTCTCCCTGTTCTCTTCTGCCATGGAAATTCACACTCAGGAGAGTCTTGGAGGAAGCGGCCCCATGATGTTTAGGGAGACACCTGGATGGGCAGGGAACAGCACAACCAATTGTCTGGAAAGTCTGTCTCCTGCATCCAGCTCTGGCTGCATCCTGGCAAGTGTTCAGAGCCCCAGCTTCATTTGTCACATTTCCTTGGCAGCCTGGGGGCCAAGTGGGTGGACCCACTGCCAGCAGCACACTGCAGGGCTCCCCTGGCTGGGCAACAGGGGACACGGTCAGGGAGGGGTAGACAGGGACAGGTGATGGGGGCACGTGGGGAGGAGCTGTTCGCAATGCCAGGTGGGGTTTTCACATGAGCACCACCTACCTGGTGACTTAGGGCCTCCCCAGGGACAGATGGGAAGTGGAGGTGACTCCCTCACATCGCAGGCCGCACCCATCCAGACCCGCACCCTGGAGTGGGCTATATTCTCTAGCAGTCCCTCTGAGAGGGGTCCCTGAAGCAGCAGCACCAACATGGCCTGAGCACATTTTGGAAACGCATTCTGGAGCCCACCCCAGACCCCATGAATCAGAACCCGGTGGAGGGGGGTGGGCCCAGCCATCTGCATTCCACAAGGCCCCCAGCAGCTTCCCATCATGGCCACGGGGGTGTGGGAACCAGTGAGCGCTCTAGCACTGCTGCTAGTTTCTCTGCGCACCAGAGAGGCTTGTTGTCTGTTTCACATGGTAATTGAGTCAAATTGATGTCATTTTTCCTCCAAACAGAACTTGCCTGGAGCGGCTCAGGTTTTCATTCCATTCTGTGGTTGTTAAGGAAGCTAAAAACAACCAAAGCTCTTTCAAGTGGCCCCATTTTCCAATTTGGCTGCCCAAACCCACGGCTTCTAGTGTCAGCACCACCTGTTTCCATCTGCAATTTGTTCTTTAAAATATTCCTGCTTCTGTGTCACCACCACCCCCAACCAAAGGAAAATAAAGTCACATACATAAAAAGGCACTACAGCATATTTGGAAAATCAACCAAAGCCCACTCAGGGCACCCACTGCGGCTTGCTGACAGCTCAGAGACACAGGTCTGGCTGAAGTTTCTCCCTCCACACATTCCTGCACAGGTGAGCGGATTGCTGGGACACACAGCCCAGTGGGACTCTATACCCCTCTGAGCCAGGTGGAGGGATCTTTTAAAACACAAATCAGTGTATACCACTCTTCTACTTGACCCCTGCACAGCTTCCCCGTCGCACATGCAGTGAAGCTGGCTCTCCATGCCCTGACCCCTGAGGGGGAGGCCGGAGCACCTCTCACTGTGCCCCACCCTCCCCATCACCCACCAGGAATCACCTCTCCCTGTGCCTCCCAAATGCCAGACTGACTCCCACTGGCTGGCTCCTTATGTCAGTGTAATGCCTTCCCTTCTAAGTGGAGGGTCACTCATCACAGAGGTGTCCCTGACTGCCCCAGTCAC